CAAGGGAAGGAAGGATTAATCATGGGGTTGTACAATTTTATGGGTAGGGAAGTCAGGGAAATTAAAAGAATCTGTTCTCAAAAACAATTTAATAGAATTTTGTAAATAAACTAGTATAAAACTAAAAACAAAACAAAAGGTCCTCACTGCCAGGCCAATAGATGAACAGATTGAGATTGTTCATGATTTCCTCTTGCTTGAATCCACTATCAACGCATGTGGCACCAGCAGTCAGGAAATAAAAAGCTGAGTTGCACTGAGAAATCTTTCAAGTACTTCTCTAGAGTGCTAAAGAGTAATGTCAGTCTAAAGACTAAGGTGTGTTCGACCCAGGCCATTATCTTCTCGCTTGCTATGCCTCTGAGAGCCGTACCATAACTAAGCATGACAGAAGAATCTATACCTTTGAGTTGTGGTGAGGGAGAAGAGTATTGAACATGCCATGGACTGCCAAGAGAACAAACAAGTTTGTCTTAGGGTGAAACTAGATTGTTCATTGGATGCAAGGATTTTGAAGCTCAATCTCACGTATTTTTGGCATGTTGCAGGAGTGATCAGTCCTTGGAGAATGACATCATGCTTGGAAGGGTAGAGGATGAGTGAGTGAAGAAGACGATGACGACCCTAGATGAGATAGATTGACACAGTAACTGTGGCAGCGGGGTTAAGGTGTATCAAAGATGATAAGGATGGCTCAAGATAGAGCAGGGTTCAGAGCCATGGTTCACAGGGTTGCTAAGAGTCGTAGTTGACTTGATGGCATATAACAACAACAATAAAACAACCATCATTTTTTAGGGAGCTCTGGTGGCATAATCTGTAAGGGGTTGTGCTGTTGTCCCATCAGTGTTACCGCTTTAATGGTTTGACTCCTTTTTGTCCCCCCATTTTGTCTCTGTTCTTATACTTTTATTGTGATTTTCATGAAAGTTTATAGAAAAGTTGGATTTTTCAGTCATTCATTATTGCACAGTTTCCTTCCCTCCCCTTCCCCCAGTCTACTTTGCAATGCACCTTATTCTAGATTATTGTCATTCATATAATGCCCAATCATATATTCCTTTTAAACAGTTCTTCCCCTAATCTGTTCCAATGCAGTGTTCATTATCTATCCACCCTTTTCCTATTCTCCTCCCAAATCCCCATGTCAGTCATATTTTATAACAGGGGTGTTAATGCAATATTTGTCCTTTTGTGGCTGAGCTATTTCACTTGGCATAATGTCCTCCAGGGTCACCCATGTTGTATAATGTTTTACAGGTTCATTGTTTTTCAGTGCTACATAGTATTCCATTGTGTGGATTTACCATTGTTTTCCTAGCCATTCATTTGTTGATGGGCAATTGAATTGCTTCCATATCTTTGCTCTTATGAATAATGCAGCAATAAACATGCATATGCATACAGCTGTTTGGGTAGAGGGTCTTGTTTCTTTAAGGTATATTCCCAGTAGTGGAATTGCTGAATCGAATGGTATTTGTGTTTCCAACTTTTTTGAGAGGGCATCAGACCACTTTCTGTAGCGGTGGCACCAGTTTACACTCCCACTGGCAGTTAATAAAGGTTCCAGTCTCTCTACAACCTCCCCAGAGTTTGTTGTTTGCTGCCCTGTTGAACTTTGCTATTGTTGGCTAATTTATCACTTGAAAATAAAAAATTTTTAAATTTATTGTTAACTAGTTTATCATGTATTTCCTTTGTGGTTAGATCTTTTTGTATTTTGTTTAAGAAGTCTTTGTCTATACCACATCCTATAGACATTCTCCTATTCTGTCTTCTAGAAGGTTTATTTTACCTTTCGCATTGAAATCTATAATTCATCTAAATTTTCAGTATGTATGTAATAGTGACCAAGATTCTTTTTCTATATGAATATCCAGTTAGTTACCCAATACTATTTATTTTAAATATTGTCCTTTCCTTACTACTTTGTAATGACTGCTCCCTTTTTTCCCCCAATAAATCACATATCCGTTTATGTGAGCTCTATTTCTAGACTTTATTCTAATCCATTGGTCTGTTTGTCTTCCTTGTTATCATCATACTGTAGAGTTGAACCCAACCCATTGCTGACCATCTGGCAGGTTTTCAGAGTCAGTTAATTGATGGGAGATTGCCTATCCTTCTCTCATGGAGCAGCTGGTGACCTCAAACCACATGCCTTCAGGATTGCAGTGCAGCTTCTTGCCACTAGACCACTAGAGCTACTATTTGTTTGCCTTATTTATTTATTTACTATTTTTATTTGTGTATTTATTTTGTAGTATGGGTAACAATTTACAGAATAAGCTTTGTTTTCTGTTCAACAATTTATTCACATTTTCTTCAACATTGCTTGCAATCCCCTCAGTGTCATATATACCATTGTTCCTACTTCTGCTTGGGTTCCTTGTTGCTTTTCTTTACTACCTTACCTTTGGTTTTGGGTAAATGCTGCCCTTTTATTCTAACATGATCGATTGTACTTAGGGTTAGACTCCCTCCTGGTGTTATCTCCTGTTAGACCCATCTGTTACTGGACCTTGGGTTGGATTTCACTCCAGACTTGAAAAGTCTGTAAGGGTCATAATGTCAAGGTTTCCTCTTGTTTTTCTCAGACAAGTGAGTCTGGTCTTTTTTTATTATTTTGAATTTCAGTCTACTCTCCCCACCCCCCCCATCCTTCTCTATCCAGGATATTCTATTTTGATCCTGATTAGAGTGATTTAGAGTAGAATCTAGGCAATATTTATTCAGTTCTGGTTTTGGAGTCGTGGAATCTATAGTTTGTGTGGTCCATTTGTCCTTTGAACTAATTCTTTCCTTGAGCCTTAGACTTTCTTCATCTTCTTTGCTCTAGACTAGGAAAGACTAATAGTTGCATCTTGGATGTAACTCGTATAACTTATGGTTCTACTTGCTACTCACCAAATTAGGGTGTAGAACTTTATGAAATTTGTTATGCCAATTGATCTAGGTATTTCCAAGACTCCATGCCCTGTGATTCATTCCCTCAAGGTGTTAGATATGGCTAAGAGGGCTTTTTAGAACATTTCCTCCCATATGCTTTACGATATCCTTGGATAATATTTATGTTGTTGTTGTTGTTTACCATAGAGTTGGAACAAACCTATAGCTGACCCTTTGGCAGGTTTTCAGAGGCATTTAATCACATGGGAGGAGATTGCTCATCTTTGTCCTGTGGAGTGGCTGGTGGCCTCGAACCAGGTGCCTTTAGGATTGCAGCACTGCTTCTTACCACTACGCTGGGATCGCAGCACTGCTTCTTACCACTATGCCATCAGAGCTCCCTAGGATATATTTAATAGCAAATTCAAATATGAATGTAGAAATATCCTTTGTTAAACCTGTGTATCTGCTTGTAAATACTGCTGCTTGTTACTGCTTTTATTGCAGGACTGTGTATGTAGTAGTATTTACTTTTGCTGTCTTTTATGCATCTCCTAGTGTCTTCCTTTGCTACGGACCATGTGCTTCCCACTTCTTTGGATTTATTGCCTTTCCTTTCACCCAAATTAATACATATCTGCTCTTTAGGGATTTAAACTTCCTTCCCTTTTAACCTTAAATATCTCTTTCCATATAAACCTTTTTCTTATTGTAGTAGTGGTCTCATGCAATAGTTGTCCTTTTGTGATTGTTTCACTCAGCATATCTTCTAAGAGCCCTGGTGGCATAGTCACTCCATAGGAAGTTGCTTTGCTAACACAAAGGCAGCACCTCTCTTGAGGTTCAAATTTACCAGCAGCTCTGACGAAGGAGGAGGGAGTCTCCTCCTATGCAATTTATGATCTCCAGAAACCTGCTGGAGGCTCAGCTATGGAAGTGAGTTTGAGTTTTAATATTCCCCAGGCTTATCCATGTTATATTTCATGAATTATTCATTACTCTTTAATGAATAATGTTGTGATAAACATGGATATGCCTATATTTATTACTGTTCCACTCTTATTTCTCAAAGTCGCAAGTGACTCGACGGCACATAACAACAACATATGCTTAGTTGTAGGATTGCTAGTTATTTAGCGCTTTTGTAGCTATGTTTATGATGGGGGATGGACTGAAGTATTCCTTCTTTGTATAGTCTTTATCTGGCTTTGGTCTTAATAAAAAAAGGTTGAGAAATGTTCCCAGTTTATTGTTTCATTAGAAGGATTTGTGTAATATTGATGTTATTTTCTTAAGTGTATAGATTAATTCACCAGTGAAGCAATCTAAGCTTAGCATTTTCTTTGTGGAGAAGTTTTGAATTATGAAGTATGGGCTTATTTATTCAATAAAAGATTATTCAGATTTGCTGTTTCTTCTTGTTTCCATTTTGGCAAGTTTTTATTTTTCTGATAATTTGCTTAGTTCATCTTTATTTTAAAATTTAACAGTTATTTTTTTAGTGTTTTAGCATCTATAGTATGAGTAATTTTTTTCACTCCTAATGTTATCTGTGCCTTTCCCCCACCTCCCTAGTCTTATTTTAAAATTTTCCATTCATTCATTGTTACACTTATCTCCCTGCCCACCCCTCCCTTCCCCCAGTATACTCTCTCTTTGAAAAGTAAAATTCTTTCATTGCTTTACAATCCCTCCCCCCAGGTCCACTCCACTATGCAGCCTTCATTCTGGACTCCTGTCATGACAATAATACCTAATCATACATCCCCTTTAAACAGTTTTCTCCCTCATTTGTTTCAATGCACTATACATTATTTATCCCATCTTTCTCAGTCTCCCCCCAACTCTGATGTCAGTCCTATTTTACAACAGTGGCACCATGCAGTATTTGTCCTTTTGTGGCTCAGATACTTCACTCAGCATAATGTCTTCCAGGGTCACCCATTTTGAATAATATTGCATGAGTTCTTTGTTTTTCAATGCAGCGTAGTATTCCATTGTGTCAATATACCACAGCTTGTCTATCCATTCGTTTGTTGATGGGCTTCCTGTACACTAATTTTTCTTTTCTTTGTGTGTGTGTGTGTGTGTTCCTTCTCTGCTATGTTTAGGGACTGCCCATGAGTTCAAGAAGCATTTTGAGCTGCCAATTTTAAAGGGTCGAGATGCAGCTGCCAGTGAGGCAGACAGGCATCTAGGAGAGGAGCGACTGCGGGAGCTCATCAGCATTGTGAATAGGTAATGGTAGGGTGAGTGATGGGCTAGATGGCACCCCTCCTCTGATACCCTCAAGTAGGGCAATCAGAATTGTCTCCCAAGCCATTTCAGATAGTTCTCAGTGGCTTCTGCCTACATGGAGCTTTTAAGGGCTGAGACTTTAGGGAGAGAGTAAATTTGTACCCCTGCCTATGACCATATCCTTATTTCTACTGGCCTCAGCTGTACATACTCTGATTTTGTGTTGCATATCAAATTGTTGAGGAAGCACTTCTTTGCTAGCGGAATTTCTGAGAATACCCCTTTGGAGTTTCAGAACCTTCCTGTCTCTCTCCTATAGCCCTAGTTCTTCTGTGACAGGTAGTTGTAGAATTGAAGTGTGGATTTGGCTCAGGCTAAAAGTGTTTCTTTTTTTAAGAGTCTCCTATTGCAGGAATGCACACTTGATGCTTTATATCCTGAAGAATCTTGTTCTTCCCAGCTACCTGGCCACTTCCCTTCCTAGTTTTTGATGGTAGGAAGGCAAGTCAGTGTACCTGATCCCTTTCTTTCCTGGTTTTCTAGGACGTATGGTTTTAATTATATTAAGCCTTAGGACTATTGCAAGCAGAAACTTCATTAAGGACTTAGTAGTTTGTAGCTTGCTTGCCTATCAGAGAGCTGGGTTCATTATTTGAGAACCCTGGGTCTTCTCTTAAGCCAAACTTCTTGTTGGAGTAAAAAAAAGAATTGTCAGCTAGATTGTTTAAAGTGTTTCTGTTACCATTACCGAGACCCTGACATAGATATCTTTTCCTAAAAGGCTGATATTTGATACTACAAAAGTAACTCAGGGAGCCAGTCTTGGTCCATTAGATGGTAATTGTTTCAAAAGTTAGCTAGCATGACAATTTTATAAGCCCCTTGACTTTTTATCTTCTTTACCCCAGGTGCCTGATCCGGAGGACATCTGATATCCTTTCTAAATACTTGCCTGTGAAGATTGAGCAGGTGGTTTGTTGTAGGTAAGGAACTTAATTGAAGGACATCGAGTGGATGATTAAAGGCCTGGCCTCTGAAACATGGCTGGGATCTCAAGGGTTTACTTAGAAGTGTGATTCACTTTCTTCCTAACACAGCTGCTCTTTTTCCAGGTTGACACCCCTTCAGATGGAGTTATACAAGAGGTTTCTGGGACAAGCCAAGCCTGCAGAAGAGTTGTGTGAGGGCAAGATGAGTGTTTCTTCACTTTCTTCCATCACCTCACTAAAGAAGCTCTGTAATCGTGAGTTGGGCCTGTACCCTGAGGTCCTTTGGAAGGCTAAGCAAAGGTGGGAAGGCTTCTATAGGCTGCCCAGCCACTTTTGCTAAAACTTGTTCAGTCTTCATGAAATGGAAGTATAATTCCAACACTCCTCACAGCATAAGCTCTGTATTATTTACTCTGTAAACCAGACCTTTTTTATTATTTTTTTTTTGTAAACCAGACCTTTTTTAAAGGACTGCCTAAGCACTTGGGGGGAGGGGGGGAGAAAGTGTGTGTGTGCTTTTTTGTTGTTGTTTATTTTTTTATTACTTGCTGTGTGCTGTCAAGTTGGATCCAACTGGCACAAGAGGAGATTTTCCCTCCTTCTCCAGAGGAGCGGTGGATTCGAACCATGCACCTTTGGGATTGCAGTGCAGCTTCTTGCCACATGTGTGTTTTATGTGTGAGGGAATGTGCATATACAGGTGCAATAAAAAAATGCACATAAGCTGTTAGGCAAGAGGGATAATGACAAAGAAACCTTGCTTACATTCTCTGGTATACTTCCCCATTTTGCTGGGCAAGCATACTGGGCAAGATTGTCCTTCATGATCTGAGTAGCACTAACTGCACTCTGTTGGGACTTGAGGTGGTGGAAACCAAATAAGTCCAGTGCTAAAGAAGGCTTTTTGGGCTAACCTTCTAGAGAGGGACTGGTGAGCATTGAAGTAGAAATCTCACCCTCCTCCCCTTTCCCAGATCCAGCTCTGATATATGACAAGTGTGTGGAAGAGGAGGATGGCTTTGAGGGTGCTTTGGATCTGTTCCCTTCTGGTTATAGTTCCAAGGCTCTAGAACCCCAACTGTCAGGTGAGCTCTTTCCCATCAGTCTTTGGGCTCCTCTGAGAAGAGGGTGGGAGCAGGATCACGGGTTGTGTCTTTGTGTTAGAACTATCTTGTCTCAAGGCAGGATATCAAGAGTAAGAATCCTAGTCTTTTGGGAGGACTTGTTGAGGGCTGATGGTTGTTGCTCTTGCCAGGTAAGATGCTGGTCCTTGATTACATTCTGGCGGTGACCCGGAGCCGAAGCAATGACAAAGTAGTGCTGGTGTCCAATTATACTCAAACATTGGACCTCTTTGAGAAACTGTGCCGGGCCCGAAGGTAGGGAAGAGCCTAACCAGCCTGCCAACAGGGTGCCTTTTCTGCTGTCTCCTCTAGGGAAAATAAGGTTTATTACTGGTGATTTGGACCAATTAGTATAGAAGACACTTCCAAGAAGATGCCTGTGTCCTTTTTGCTGATTGGTTCTAGCTCTATCTCTGAGCAGAATAGTACCTTCAAGTGCTCCCAAAGGACAGAGTCCTTGACCTTGGTTCTCTGCTCCTTGGGGAGTTCAAGATCTCAGGCTATGTATGAACAGCCTCATTCAGAATTAGTTCAGTCCCTTCAATTGCTCTAGCTCCAAGGGGATCTGTTTCCTCCTTGGATCTTGATCTTTGGATTCCTCTTTAGGTACTTATATGTCCGCTTGGATGGCACAATGTCAATCAAGAAGCGAGCCAAGGTTGTGGAGCGCTTCAATAGTCCATCGGTAAATGCACAGCCCCTCTCCCCACACCATCATTGCTAGAAAATCAGAAGTAAAGAAGGTATAAGTGTGCTCTGCGTCAAGTTCTGATATATTGGGGGGGAAGTGTGTTTCTTCTCTAAAGTGTGGTTAAGTCAGTTGGTGGTGGCTGGGCTTAGAAATGACTTTATGAGATGGGAAACTGACCCATAAGTAAACTGGTGTTTTTCATAATTGGTCTGAGTAGAAGTATTTTCTAAGGCATGAGGGAGGTGCTGGCTAGGCTGAGCAGAATCCCAGTTAGACTGCAGGAAGTTATTTTTCTTCTGGTTCTTTTTTTTTTCCCCCCCAGAGCCCTGACTTTGTCTTCATGCTGAGCAGCAAAGCTGGGGGTTGTGGTCTCAATCTCATTGGGGCCAACCGGCTGGTCATGTTTGATCCTGACTGGAACCCAGCCAATGATGAACAAGCTATGGCCCGGGTCTGGCGAGATGGTCAAAAGAAAACCTGCTATATCTACCGCCTGCTATCTGTAAGGATGTCGATGATGGTCAGAGTAGGGGTGGGCCATGGAGTAAGTCCTTAAGGACCATTTTGAAACATTTTTCAATGACTCTCTTGGCGCTTCTCCCTTAAGAAGGGAGAAGGGCTTAGCCTGGAGCCCTTGATTCTTCCTCACCCCACTCCTACTCCAAAACAGTTATGTCTCTGATATCTTGGTAAACAAATACCTATAGCTTCATGGTTTTTGTAGGGCACCTATCTTCCCTCATACTTAGCTTCTACTGTGCCATTTGCTTTTATAGCCTTTTTCACCCCATTACCCAGGGGAAAAATTATACCGGTATTTTCCAAGTCCTCAGTGTACTTTCAGACCATCTATTTCCAAGTTTTTCCTTTGAAGCTCAACACTGTCTTACTTGATGGCCTCCATGTATACTTTGTTGCAATCATTTCTGTTATTTTTCTAATTCACCAATTATCAGTAATTTGGAGTACCACCTTAACTTTTACCTCTTCCCAAATGTTGCTGTCATCTTAGCTCATTTTAAGTAGCATGCAGTTTATCCAGCACATTAGCCCTTCATGTTTCCTTGATCTCATCTTTAATGGCTTCCTCCATTCCCTGTCACCTAGTTACTCTACTCGTCACACTGTGGAACTTAAAATTTAATAACTCTCATTCTGCTCTCCTTCCTTCCAACCTAAGTCTCTTTACTTCCTAGATCTTCAACCTACTGTCGCTAGAAACTGACCTCTCCATCTTACAATCTGTCACCTGTCTAACTTAACTTACTTTCTATCCAGCCTGATCCTCACTGTTCATTCTTTTAACCACTGTTTCCCTAATAGCCATCCCATTTGTATCATTCCTGCTGTTTTCACCTATTTTATGGGTTTGCATTTACACATCAGCACCACCACCAATTCAAGTTTAATTATATTGGGCTAGACTCTACTTCCTTCAACAGCTACTTCATGCCTTCACTATTTCCCTCAAGTTTCCCGCCCAACTCTGTCCCTCATTCTTTCTGCAGATTGTGTCTTCTACTTCAGAGAAAATGTAGGGTATTAGATATGAATTTGCTCACCTCTCTGTCTTCCATAAATCTGTTCTCAAGGTTTGTCCTTTGAATTCTTCTCTAGACTCCATTTGTCATTTCATTCTTAATTTATCTTTTATCCCCTCAAAGTCTTTAGACAAGATTAAGCAGTTCCTATGCTAAAACCAAAAGTTTAAAAATTGTGTCCTGTTATAGCTACCACCTTGGGTTACTGTCCCTTCACTGTTACTCTTCCAAGGCCTGCAGATGAATTTCTTTAAGTCTCCATTTTCTACTCAGCATACCTCATCCCTATGGCTTCTTACCCCTTATGCCCCTGAAACATCTTTCCAATGTACAGTTGGCTGGCTTCTTAAAGGAGCCAATTCGTAAAAGAGACAATTGATTTCTGTATCTGAAACAATAAATTCTACTATTCCTTTATTCAAATTCTTTTCTCATCTTTAGTTCTGTTACTTTGGTGATTATATACACTCATTCTTTTTTTCCCCCCCATTATATTCTTAAGTCTAAATTTTTAGCCCAGCTCTCCTTACCTGAGACACATTTCCATCAATTGCTATACATTTTCACTTGGGTATTTTATGAGCACTTAGCTGTGTCATTAAATTTCTGAATTTCATCTGTTAGTTGTTCCATTATCCATCCAATGTGGCAATCATCTCATTGGACTATTCTCTGCTGTTAACAACTAGATTCTTACCAGTGACCTTTGACTCAACTTTATAGAAATCTTTCCTCTTTACCTTTGGTTTTATCTTTCCTAACCTATTCTTCACATCCTGTTTCAGAAATGAGCTTGCCAAAAGTGGAGTTTGCTTTTTGTTGCTTTCATGACAAAGTCAAGCTCTTCAGCCTGGCATCCAAAGTTCTCCATAATATGATCCTTGCTGGCTTGCTTAGTTCCAACTATTTACTCTCCAGCTATCCTTCAGTCCAGCTGAATACCTAGTACGCCAACTCACCAGATTTGTTCATTTGCTGGGAGTGCGGGAGTGCCCTTCCTTGTAAACTGAACATTTTCCATTTATCCAAATTTGTCTTAAAGATAATCTTAACTTTCAAACTTTATTCCACTCTATCATTCTTACTGTTGGCTCCTATATCTTGTACACATCATCATTGTTCTAGTTTGCTTGTCTCTCCTACTAGTCTTATGAGCTCAAAGATAGGGATCACATTTGAATTTTTTTTAATACCCAAACATTAGCATAGGGACATAGTAATATCTAAATAATGCTTACTGAATGAATAAGACTCGGGCTTCTTGTGGAGGTCTAGTTAAGATGTTATAGGTACCTCTGCTCACTTTGAAGGTGATAAAAAAATGGCCTTACAGCAGCAGAATGTCATAGAAGAGAACAGGAAAATAGGGCTCAGCTGAGCAGAGGTATTGCTAGGACACTTACCTTTCATTCATTCCTCCACCTCTAGAGTGGCTGTAATTTCAAGCCCTAGGTCTCCCTGTACTCTCCCAGTGGGAATAACTATTTCCTCTCCTTCTCTTCCCCCATAGGCAGGAACCATTGAGGAGAAGATCTTCCAGCGTCAGAGCCACAAAAAAGCACTGAGTAGTTGTGTGGTAGATGAGGAGCAGGATGTGGAGCGACACTTCTCTCTGGGAGAGTTGAAAGAACTGTTTACCCTGGATGAGGCTAGCCTCAGTGACACACATGACAGGTGAGTGAAGAGTGTCTTTGTTGGCCATTATCTCTAAGCTCCTTGCAGAGGAAGGAGGTAGGATCTGCAGTGACTACATCTCTGTCCTCTGCCTCTAGGTTGCGCTGCCGCCGCTGTGTCAACAACCGCCAAGTATGGCCACCCCCTAATGGTTCTGATTGCACCTCAGACCTGGCTCAGTGGAACCACAGCACTGATAAGCGGGGGCTCCAAGATGAGGTACTCCAGGCTTCTTGGGATGCTGCTTCCACAGCCATCACCTTCGTCTTCCACCAGCGCTCCCATGAGCAGCAGCATGGGCTCCACTGAAAACCAGCTGGCTTTGAGTATAGCTGTAGAGGTGGGGAGATAAGGGGCTCCTTGCCCCACAGAGTCCTACTGGATTTTGTTCTCTGAGAGAAAAATCATCAAGAAGGGCTGCATGATGTTTGCCCAAAATTTATTTTATAAGAAAAACTTTTTTGGTTAAAAAAAAGAAAGGAATAAAGGTATGAAAGGGATTGAGGTCTGGGAGCAGCATGATGAGCCCAGTAGGGAAGAGGTCTAGTAGTGGGCACTCCTATACATCTCTAAAGCCCTGCTTAAGGAGGGAAGGCAGGAACCTCTGGAGCAGGGAGAGGGAGGCTGTTCAGTAACTGTGATGACCACTGTAACTTCCTGGCCTAGGGTTCCCAGGGTACTGAGAGAGGCCCAATGGCTCTAATTCAACTCTGGAATGCCTTTGCTGGGCTGCATCAAGGCCTCCAGAACCTCAGTGCATGGAAAGAAGGAAAGGAGAAGAAAAGGTGGCACAGAGAGAGAGTTGGTATTTGGGGGTTCTGGGCAGCCCATGCCTCAGCCCTTGCAAGCTGATGGTACTGAGCATGGGCTTGCAAGGTATGGGCCCCATCACATGGTGCTGACGTAATCTGCGAAGGCTTGGGATGAGTCCCATGAGTCGCTAACCACATGGCAAGTGGCCCGGAGCCGCCGAATGGCTTCCCTGGCTGTAACTGCATCTTGATCCAGCCAGTTCTGGAAGAGGCGCAGGTGACCAAAGGCTCCACGGCCCCAGCGCTCCAGCCGCTTGGCAAATTCCAGAAGCCCATCTGGCTTGATGCAATTAGAGCTGGTAGGGGCAAGAAGGATTAGATACCCAGGAGGTAACTAATCCCTGGTGTCTGTGTCTCTCCAGCCCCATCCCTTGGTCCCTCCCTTTGTACCTGATGTCCAGCTGACAAAGAGAGGAAGATGAATCCTCTGAGAAAACATCTGCCAGGGCCAGCAGGCCAGCATTCCCTAGGTAGGAGAGAAGTAGTTGTCACCTCCACCCAAGAATAGGGAACAAGGCATCCAATTCCAACTCTGACTGGAGAAATTAGAAATTTGGCCCTACCAGTTCGCCAAACTCCAGAAGATATCCATGTTCCTACCCCCAAATTCCTGGTAAGAAGTCCATGCTCTCACCCAAGAAGTTTCTAAGTCAAAGACTTGGCCCCCTTCCCCTCCCTAGGGCCCAATCCCCACCCAGTCGATTTCCTGGCAGTCGAAGGCCCTTCAGTGTGGAGTTGCCCTTCATAGCAGCAACCATCTCGGGCAGAAATTGTGCCGGGCGCTTCTCAAACAGACGGCAGAAGGAGAAGGTAATCTCTGTCGAGAGAAATTAAGAATATATTCTAATAGCTGCTTTTAAGACTGGCATTGGCATTCCTGTTCCAGCTGATCCCAAAGAGTGTGTGAAAATTTTAAAGAGACCCAGAAAGGGGAAAGAATTTGTCAAAGACTATAGTCAAAGCTGGAACAAAATCAAGATTCACATTAGAAGTTGTTCAATGTAGGGGTGTTCTCTGACCAATTCTCCATTCACTTTTTAAAAAAATTTTATTCTTTTTTGTGTGTATACTGTCAAATTGGATCTGACAGGTACAGAAGGAGATTGCCCCTCCTTCTCCAGCAGAGCATCTGGTGGATTCAAACAGCGTACCTGTGTGATTGCAGTACAGCTTCTTGCCACTAGGCCACCAGAGCTCCCTCATTCACTTACTTTTTTCACCTTCCCATCACTAACCACTCCATGCAAGTCTGAAGGAAGCGTGGAGCGGCACATTTATCCCTCAACTACCACTGTTTTTCTCAGTCCCTGAAAGCTTCACATTTTAGGTGAAACACTGACTGACGGTAAACTCCTGTGTTCAGTAGAGGAGAAGTTAGATTTGGGACCTTTTAGAAGGAAAATCATGCATGTTCTAAATCCATTTTATAGCTGAGGGTATAAGATCAAGAAATGAGCAGTGGTTTGCACACTTACAGGGAGGCAGGGGCAGAGCCATAATGAGAACCCCCCCCCCCCCGCAGGAATTTACCAAGTCATAGATGGGGAACTCACCTTGAAGAGTCAAATTCTGTAGCAAGAAGAGCACCTCACTCTGACAGTCAGCCAGATTCATGTCATGGAAGCTCAGCCTCTTCAGGGCTAGGTTGTACTCTGAATGGGAGGCAGAGGCCACAGGCCTTAGCTTTCCAAGAAAACACTGCAAAATCCCCACCTACCCTACTTTCACTAGTCTGGCTAGGTCCTACCTTTGAGTGTCTGTAGCACAAGGCCAAAATCCTGGGGAGAAGCAAAGGTGGCGCTATCCAGGGACAGCTGCTGCAGAGAACCTGAGGCCTTCAATACAGAGCAAAGCAGTGGGGCTGGCTGGGCTCCTCGTGGAAACCCCATTTCCAGCTGCTCCAGGCAATTTTCTGGATATGGTAGAAAGAGGAGATTATAACTACTTACCTATCTCTATCTCACTCCTTACTTATTCACTTAAATATTTGATCTTTAAGTGCTTGTATAACACCGCTTGGCTTTGAGGATAATAGTACTAAACACAGGATTTGGTCTTTGTCCCCATGGACCTTTAGTCTAGAAAGAAATAAGCAAATACAGTATCCCAAATGGTGGTATAGGAGACATACATGAACTTAGAGCACATAGAGCAGAGTGAACTAATCTAGTCAAGTTTAGACTCCTTGGCTCAGACCCTCTTTTTGGAGAATAAGCTGTCAGTTACTCCATATTTTCTGATGGGTTTTCTAATGATCTGGGTCTTTTTTTTTTAATGGAAAGCTCTGAAGCGGGAGCATATGCGAGACATTCCAATCATGGTAGGAATAAAGGGTGACAGGTCTATATTGGAGCCTCTTTTCACACAAATGCACTTTTGTGTATGAAGACACACACACACACACACACACACACTTCACCTGGTATCTCTTCATCCCCGATTATGTGGCTAGGGGGCCCTGCATTCCCTGGCCCAGCTGGGTTGGGGTTGTCCCGCTGGCTAGGGTGGTCAACACGAATAGAGAGGACTCGTAGCAGAGGCAGAGCTCGCACAATTGCACGTGTCAGTTCCAGGATAGGCAGTGGTGAGAACAGGTCACTGAGATGCAAGGCCCGGAGACGGCATCCAGCCTGACCTGACAGGGCCCGCAGGCTGTCCAGTAGACGGAAAATGTTAGAGCCCAGACCTATGGTAGGAGAGGTTGATTAAGTCAGTTGTGCTGGGATAACATTGAGGGAGAATTCCAACTCTTTCTTTTAATTACTGCCTTACTGGATCAATTTATTTAAAGCCATTTGTTTCAATTACTTATCCTACTGTCTTGCTTTTCCCTCAGGTTACCAGCAAATTCTGGTGCCATTATATTGGGCCATCAAGAAGCATCAGCAGGGTAAAAGAATAGAAGATAGACTGTGGTAGGGCAGCATATGGCTACTGGATGAATGATAAGCCCAGGCAAAAGCAGAAGTCTCTGGATTTCTGGGTTCTGAGTGGCTTCCCTGAAAAGGTGGGCCTAGAAAATAGTAAATCTTAGACAAAGAGGAAAATTTGTCAAGGGCATTAAGTGGAAGTTCTGTTTAGATGGGTGGGGTCTTGGTGAACAGCTCTTACTAGCAAGAACATTTTGCTCACTGTGGAAGTTCCGGAAAGCTTAGCTAAAGAGATGGTTTAATCTCCTGTAGGCCATAAGGAGCACCTGAAAACAGAATGTCACTAAGGAGATAGACTGGGTGGGAATAAGGCAAGAGGAATAATTCCATAAGGGCCAGAAAGGTTAGAGTAGTTGCTTAATCCACAAAGCAAATAATTTCCTTAGAACCCACTTTCTACTTCATCTCCTTTTGAACCAAACAGGCTCTTGTTGATTTCATTCATTCAACTATAAGGCTTTTTGCTAGACATGCCAGGAAGCACCCAGATACTGCTCTTATTTATCTACTAGTAATAACATTGCAAACTAGGGAACTAGAAACTATGAAAGTACAGAGGGAAAAAAAAAAGAAAGTACAGAGAATGAATCCTTATCACCTAATTTAGGTTTATCCATGAAAGCTTTCTAGCTGAGTTTTTAATATAAAGGAGATAGGCTAAAAAAGGAGGAAAGTGGCAGGAGGAATTCAGTATGTATAAAAGCCTGAAAGGAGATAGATTGGCTGGATCAAAGAAGTGGAAAATATTCAATATGGTTGATGTGTAAAGTATGAGAGAAGTGTACAAAATAAGACTAGAGGAGAAATCTCCCCACCCAAGTTAAACTCATTGATTGTGACTCAATTCTGATGTAGAATGGAACTGCCCCATAGGTTTTCCAAGTCTGCCAGTCCTTATGAAAGCAAACTGCCACATCTTTCTCCTACAGAGCAGCTGATAGAAGCCAAGTGATTTAATCATTGTCACCAGCACTCCTTTATAGAGGTAAGCAGGAATGAAAACATGAATGGCCCTGTAAGACATATGTTGATGGAAAGCCATTTGGAGGGCTTTTAAGGGAAAGAATGCCAAAATCAGATCTGTATATTTCCAAGAAGGTTTTTACTACAATATAGTAAAAATATGGAGTCAGGAGGAAATGCTAAAATGATGCACCAATGTGAGAATTAATAGCTTGAATTAAGAAAGGTGATAAACCATATATACACACACACACACATTCCCCACCCCCCCAATATATGTGGAGAAGAGGGAATTCAAAATGATTCTTAGATTTCTGGTTTAGAGTCATTCACAAGGGAACAGGAGGCTAAATAAAGGGGGAGGAATATAGTCAGCAGTTTGAACATAATAATGAATTTGGGGAACTTGCAATTATCAGCTAGTTATATTTAAGAGGCAGCTGGAGAAGTAAGTGACTCTAGAGTTTAGGAGAAAGATCTGGGCTAATTTAGGATGAGGTTTTAGCATAGAGTGGATATCCCAGAAGAATCTGTAATGTGGAGAAGCTCTGAGGCATTCTGAATATTAAAATATTAAGAAGGATCATCCATGGAGGGAAGATAAAAAGAAGTCAGAGATAGAAATAATATTTCATGAAGATACTGCTTA